ATGCACATGCAAAATAACACGACGGCACCATCCTTCGATTCCACTCTCTTTCCTTCTCAGCATAATGCAAATATTCCCCAATGAGTTATCGTCGTTTTCGACGAATGTAGGTCAAAACACCCTTCCATCTTTCTCCCTAGTAGTCTAGAAGGTTCATGGTTGCTAAAATGTGATTTTGGTGAAGGTTTGGACATGAAAACACGTCGGGGAAACTTCCCTAGACTTACGGCTAGGAAACCGTCACTTTCGAGGCAATTTCTGGCCAAACCACAGCGAGTTGGCCAGCGTGCAAGGTATCAATCTCTTCATCTCGCTGAGTACTACAACTTTCCTTTTTGTTTCACCCAATTTCGTTGAATATTGAAGAAGTTATATCCATTTGAATCTTACTCAGTTTCCAGCGACCTCCTAGAGGCTTTCGAGGCATTTCAGGCCAAACCATAGCAAGTTAGACATCGTGTGAGGTACCATTCTCTTCGTCTCTTCGAGGGCTACAATTTCCATTTTTGAATCACTTGAATTCCTTGAGTATTGACAAAGTTATGAACGTTTAAATTTAGGGAAGTTTCCAGCCAAATTCCGGCCTTCTTCTCCGACGAGACCAAGAAACCAAGGCATTTGGGCCTAAACCCATTCGAACCAGGCCCTTTGGGCCGTGCTTAAACCCAACCCAACCCCTTTTATTTTATTTTGTTTCTATTTATTTTATTTCAAACCCAAAACAATTGGGCCGGGCTTTCAAGCCCAATACCTTTCAAACCCTTTTTAGTTTTATTTATTTGGTTTTTGTTTTAAAACCCAAAGGCCTTGGGCCATTTCTGTTAGGGTCTTAAGCCCGTTATCCACTAAACCCTTTAAACCTTTTAAAACCATACCTTTTTTAATTATTAAACCCCAAAGCCCTTTGAGACCAAAACCCTATACCCTAGCCAGCCCAAACCTTTTATATGGAATATTCCGTCAGGAAATATTCTAGGAATATTCTATTAACTTTTATGAAAGTTATCCAGGACCTTTCTCAGGGTAATTCGACATCCTGAATTCGTTTCCGATGTCTGTTTTCCCAAATTCAATTGTTATAATAGAGTTTTATTAATTGGACCCTTTATGTGCTTAGGGGAAATTGTTAGTGGCATTTCGTCTCTACTAGCTTGCGTGGCTCTTTAGCGGCTAAATATCTGTGAGTGGACCCCTTCTAAAATGCATGTTTTAATAATAGAAATGCATACATGGAAAAGCATGATTTAACAATTATGTTCTATGAGACACTTTGAGATAATGTGTTTATTAAGGCTAATTTGAATTATTACTATTTTTCCTATAACCCGTATTTTTATAGAATATCTTATGGATATGATATTTAGAACATGTTTCGACATCTCTTTATAGTATAGATGATGGATGACTTTATACTATGAAGTTGCTTTTCAATATATATAGGTTCAATGGTTTGGTACTTATCTAGTGATCCTTTCGGCTACGGGACGTAGGGATAGATTCTGGTTCGTCCCGAGCAACGGTTTGGTGTTGGCATAGGGCCTGGAGTGTGTTTCCTATGGCTATTAGGACAGGGACGGGGAGCCGGCATGGGGCCTGAACTATATTTTCCTCTTACTGTTTGCTTAGAGACCGGGAGCCGACATGGAGCTTGGGGGTTATCGGACATTCACTAGTGATTATTATATATACAAATTATGATTTGAGATATTGCACAACATGCTAGGTTTTGGAAAACCTATGTTTATTATGATATATATGTGTTTTAATAAAACTTGGGGGTTAGTACATTAATAATTGTTTTACTATATATATATATTTATATGTCAACTTGATCCACTCATGTTTGTTTTGCGCCCCCTTCAGGACTTAGAATTGAGACATACATTCCGGCATCCAGGTATTTCCGCATCGGCATCTTCAAGTCCTCTCGGTGTAGGACCCACTCCTTTGTTCATTTAATTGTATATTATTTCCTTTAGTGTTCTAGTTAGTTGTATGCTCTGAACACGTTCCTTAGATGCATATTCATTATTCGTTTATATGTATAAGTCTTATCTATCCCTTATTTTCAGCTTTTGCACTCAATAAATGGCTTTTGTCACCCTCGGGTGTTGGCCAGCACATGCCTATCCTGGTATTCGAAGAATATCGGGATCGAGGCATGTCAGAAGTAATTTGAGGTGTGTAATATAATCTCTCTTTATTATTGGGGTTGGCTTTTGTACTTAATTGTATATAATTAGATATATTATTGAATTTAGTCTTTCATTGTAAATTGGAGAGTACAATAATTTTTTTTTTTTCAAAGAGTAAATATTATTAAATACGTACTGAGATGTTTACATCAGAAGCTAGAGAATTAAACAACCATTCTAATTCATAAAAATCCCACACATGAACACCCCCCACACGCGTGACAAAGGATGCCACCTGATGTGCAACCCCATTACAAGCACGAGGAGTAAATAGAAATTCAACCGACCTTAACTGCTACCTTAACTGCTGAATGTCCCACACCAAACCTTCAACGATGGCCTTGATTTGTGACATGCCATTTAACATATCCACCATGATCTTTGAATCAGTTTCAATTTGAACCACCTCAAAGCCTATCTCCACACATGCCAACATAGTTACCCTCATCGCTTCTGCTTCTGCCATCAAACTAGATTGACATAGAACATTTCCCACCCCTCCCGCTCCTTTGAATATCCCAGCAAAGTCCCTTGTTACGCACCCAAAACCCCATTTCCCAGTTCTCTTACTCCACGCCCCTTCACAATTAACTTTAATTGTTCCAAACGGTGGTTTTGTCTATCTTCCCCCAACAGTTTGTCCCGGAGAGTACAATATTTTATTGAAGCAAAACTAGAGAAAATATAGTTTCCAAAAAAAAGAAAAAAAAAAACTAGAGAAAATACTGTTAAGGGGAAGAATCAGATTCGTATAGATAAATATGCATAATGATCTTTTGAAGTATCAGTAACAATTTTTCTATTTATTATAAGAGTTTTTTTTTTTGGATACTTTGGATGCGGTCCCTAGCTATCAATATTCTTTGATTGAAACCTTGTTAGTTTTTAGTTTTGATTGAGGTCCCTGAGATTAATGTAATAATGTAAGTTACTATATTTTTTAAATTAAAAATTAAAAATTGAAATTTGTAATTGTTTATATTAATGAGATTTTAAATAAAACCCATAATTTATGGGATTAAAAATAATAAAATATAAATTATACTCTCTATTATATTGTGTGTGTGTACATTAACCAAAATTAACAAAAAAAGTTATTGTACCAAAACATGGATACATTCTCAAATCAATGAAAAAGAATGTACCCATATAAGTTTAAACATGGATTAAAAAATTTGAATGGATTTTATATTAAAAAAGGGTACATTTTACATATAACAAATTGATATATATGAGAATGGGTACATTGATGATTAAAAAAATTGAAAAATTATATGAATGTGTACATTTAAGATTAAAAATTTGAGAATCTTTATATATATATATATATATATATATATAACTAATAGGTACAAACTTAATTTAATTTAATTTTTTATTATTTTGAAAATGTTTGAATTGAAAATTAATTAGAAGTTTAATAGAGGTGTGAGTATTAAACCCTAAATTAATTACTAATTTTTATATTAAAAAATTATATAATAAACATGTAAATTCATTATCACATTAATGCTAGGGACTTGAATCAAAATTTGAGAACTAATAAGGTCTTAGTCAATGAACAGTAAGAACTAGGGACCGGATACTAATTTTTCTTTTTTTTTTTTGTATAAAATTATATACATTTTTTTTGTTGAGTACATCGATATATTTTTACACCAAGAAGAGAGAAAGTTCAGCTTAGCCACACAGTAGGTAACCTAATTTGGTATTGAATTTGCCTTCCACGAAATTCGAATCTAAGATCTCTCACTTACAAGTGAAGAGAAATACCATCTGATCGTAGTACTAAGTGGCGTATAAATTATATACAATTAGATGTATGATTTAATTATGTGTGCTTAGATCCACTTGATAATTGTATTCTTTACTTGTAAGAGAAAAGTAATAAATTTGAATTTGATGGATGAAGACCGTTTAGATATCCTTTAGCAAATAATGAGACAAATCACCACCGAGAACATCTTCATTCTGCTGCTCAACTTGTCCATTGTCAATAATTTGGGATTTTTTTTATTTTTTTTTATTTATAGTTTTAATCATTCTTCTCCTCTCAATTGATGTTACTTCCTATTATGTTTTGCACAGGAATTAAATTGTGTTTGTATAAGATATAAACTATGGTGAGGATCAAATTTATGACGGAGATGGATTAGTCTGATGAATTTTCTGTTGGTTTTAATTTTCTTCAGTTGGTGGTGAGTTGAGAGAGAACATTGGTGCTTGGTTACAAGATTAAGGGTGTTTGGCTACAAGAATAATGAGTGTTTAAAAGTACGCGTTTTATATTTACTGAGCCACATAGTTTGGTGAGTAAAATGAGTATTGACTCAACATTGTATTGTAACGATGACTTTTAGAATTTTCCTCAAATATCATCCTTAAAAAAATCACTAAAATTGGACACGATATGACCATTGGATTGTAAAGGACATTTAGTTTTCATTTGAAGTACCGAATTTGTCAATTTTCTTCACTATAATTGGATGTCTTAATAGTTTCATATTTGTTTAATTTTTTGCAAAAATGAATTATAAATGATGGCTTGAAGTATAAATAAGTGAGCCATACAAAGCTCCCCATGTAGAACTATAAACAGGTCGGGTTTACTGGGTTTGAGTCTGGTTCGACCTGACCCGTTAAACTAACGGATCACCCGAACTCAACCCGTTAAGCTAACGGGTCTTAATGGGTCACCCGTTACTTTTTTTTTTTTTTTTTTGTGGGCTTATAACAACACAAGAAAGTATCAATTATGTGCCTTAGCTTAACAAGATTTAATAGACAAAACATAGGACGAGCAAATTCGTACATATCCCGTTGTACATACAGTAATGCAGAAAAGGCAATCATTATCGTCAGAATTCAACACCGAAAGATAACATATCCCGAAACCCTAAACCCTAAACCCACATAGAAAATACAAATACAGACATGGGATTTACAAATCAAGGTGCGATATCGCACTACGAAACCAAAAGGTCACAATCTTTGATGCGGTTAATAATTAGGGTTATAAACAGAAGGAGCAACAAAATCACAGTAAGGCAAAAGGAAAATTACCGGAGCCAGGGATGTCCTTGAGATCTTCGGCGGTAGGGGTGGTCTTTCCGCCCAACACAACCAACAAGTATGCAGCGACCACCTTCATCTCTGCCTGTCAGAAACCAAAGAAGTGGGTTTGAATCACTCGGGCTTCGATGCGGGAATGGTGGGAGGAGGAGGAGGAGTAGTGGGTTTGAATCACTCTGAGAGACCGCGAGTACGAAGAGTGGGAATGGTGGGAGGAGGAGGAGTAGTGGTGGAGGGAGGCTTCGAGGGCTTCGATGCGGGAGATGAGGGAGAAGATAAGTTGGTCTTGCTGTTCTTGGTGGTGGAAAGTTGGAAACGATGTTTTGGGTGGTGGAAAATTAGCAACCTGAGGGTTTTGGAAACCATTGAAATTACACAAAAGTCCTTACTAACGGGTGTTAACGGGTTTCGCGGGTTCACCTAATCTGACCCGTTATTTAACAAGTGATTAACGCGTAGACCCGTTAATCACCCGACCTATTTATCACCTACCCGAATACTAATTTTAACGGGTCGGATCGGATCAGGTTAACGGTTTGGGTTGAAAATGCCAGGCTTAGCTAGCAGTCATGTACCGAAGGGCCTGGAGAAAAGCAGCGTGGCCATATTCGGCGAAGTTCTGCCAGTAGAGTACCGTCAAATCCCAGGCTCTTGCTCGCATCTCCAGCACCTTCCTGTCTATGTCTGTCTCATACTTTGCTACATATGGCCTCAGGAAGGTCTTGTACACAAAGAAAGTTTCCTGCAACCGCATTTCAAACGCCATTCCAATGAGTCAAATTGAAAATCCGTGCAACGGTCTTTATATTGTCAAACTGTGAATGTGGACCTCTAATCAGGTTAATTGTTATCTTAATGTTCGTGTAGTCGGTCGGACTTATAGTCTGCTAGCATAAGTCTAGCACAAAGTATGCACATTTCAAATTGTCATGTTATGTTGTCAAACTATGAATATAACAATTGCTTAAATATTGACGGAATGTATAGTCGATCGTCTTCAAATTCACAGTTTGCTAACATAAGTCTAGCCGGGTGTTATGTGTTTCTTACCTTGGTCTTTGAACACCATAGGTATATAAAAAGGGCCACCTTCCCTTCATCATACATGGGCAACCTTCAAATTTTCACAATGCAAATGTCAAATTAAATTTAAAATGTGGTATGCAAAATGAGTTTATAGTAAGAGAGTGACTTGTACCATGAGATGAATACATCTCCAACCCTCTCAAGAACTGTGAGCATTGCCACAATTATCCTGTGAAAACGACATGTCGTTATTGCATATTTAACTAGCCATTACCAATTTAGAGCTCAATCAAACATGCCCACAACATGTAACTATACATCCACATGAGTCACCAAAATGCTTTAATGATATGTTTACAATGATAGGGACTCAAAAGAAAAAGAAGGAACTCGGATAAATAAAAACATTAATTTCATCAAAAGTAAACTTCAGATACGTATAATTATTCAGATAAGGTAAAGTTTATTTTTACATTAAAATCGAATCTACAATATTTTCTCCCTTTACTTTTTCTTCTATATTTTTTAAGGCATTTTAGTCAAAATTATCTTTGAAACTGGCATAACTCCTCACTTTGGTCTCTGAGATTTGGAATTGATTGAAGTAGTCCTTGAATTTGTCCACCATCAATTATTTTGGTCATTTTGTGAAAAATCTTTGTTAAATAAAGATAAAATGACAAAAATACCCTCAATGAGGATACAATAACAAAAATACCCTCAATTTAGTAAACACTGGGTCAAAATAATTTGACAAAATTGATGGTATTTTTTTCATTTTATCCTTATTTAACGGAAAATTTTCACGGAATGATCAAAATGATTGATTGTAGTGTACAAACTAGGAAACCAAAATTAGGAGTTATGTTAATCTCATAGACTATTTTTAGATAAAAAATAAATAAAAAATCAACAAATTATTGGTCGAATTGCTATCCAAGGATCTGAACTTAACCAATATGAGATGACAACCAAAACATGAAAATACTCTTCCAAAAGGGAACCAAAATGAATTTCAAACATCAACCAGACCAACCCTAAAGGGAAAGAACATAAATCGAAGATGTCAAAACAATAGTGTCTCAAACCTATCACGTGTTGCCTTGTGCTTTAATTTTAGGAAAACTAATGAAAATGACTTGAAAACTTTGAGTTTTAACGATAATGACAAAATAAAGAGTAAAGTGAATAGTACTAGGATTGACTTTTTAGCGTAAAAATGTGATTTTACGTTAAAGTGAACGGTATCGAGAGCTTTTCTTTAAAGTTACCTTAATTTTTTCCCACGTCATATGGTTGGTTTGAAATATCGTCATATTGACATCTTTGTTTCATGTAAGTCTCTTACATATTGGCATATGACTAAAACAACTGGGTTTTTAATTACGTACCAGTATTGACACCAAAGCCGGAGTTCTTGAATCTCAACTCTGTTCTTCTCCACTGTTTTGTAGCACTCAAATGCTGGGTATGCATACCCAAGAAACACTCTGCACACCCCCAACAAAACAAGTCAAAACCAACCCGAAAAACAAAACCAAAAGTAAAGTCGAAGATCAAGATCCAAAACTTGATTAACGTTAATGAAAAAACATTAACATACATAAGAATTCTGGTTAGCAAGCTTCCCAACATTTTCAATCCCTTCACATCAAACACCAACACACATAAATTATATCCCTGCAACACGAAACCAAACTTTTAAATCAACCCCATAGTTGCATTACTTCGAACCCCGAAACGCATAGAACGTCGAGATTTCAGAAAGATGGGCCAGCGTTGATCGACTCACCTTCTCGTTGAGAACAAGTTAAAAGGAAGAAATAGAACCACCAAGTGAGGAGTTCCAATTAAACAGCAAGAAGGAAGGGCTTAATATTATTCTTTGAGAAGAAATGGGGTTTTATTTACTCTGATTCTGTGAAGGAAAATGTGTTTCGAGGAGGGAGGGAGAGAGAGAGAGAGAGAGAGAGAGAGAGAGAGAGAGAGAGAGAGATTCGCAGGGAGTTCGAGACGGGAAGAATTGCCAAATTTCTAGAAATGCTATATTTGTATATCAGTATATGTATCGATTCCTATATATATACAAGGAGTTTTGGGGAGTTAAGCTGTTAATCCACAACAGGATCAGATTTAGAATAATTAATTAATTTAATTAAGGGGATATTTTGGATGTGGTCCCTAATCCTTAACATTCTTTGATTAAAACCTTAATAGTATTCAAAGTTTGATCAAGGTCCCTTGACTTTGTACACCTCATTATATTACTATTAATATTTATATTTTTATAGTTTTGACATTAATTGTTTAATATTTTATGAGATTTATAATCCTATAAATTTAAAATTCCTCATTATAATACTATTAAAAACGGTTACAATAAAAAAATTCAAACATTTTGATTGAATAAATGGATAAAAACTATGTAAAAATAAGAAATAAATAATGACAAAAGTGTTAAAAAAATTGGTACATTTCACATATAACAAAGTAGTACATTAATAAAGAAGAATGGGTACATTAAAATTAAATTAGGGTACAGATAAAAGATTAAAAATTATGAATACAAATGAATTTTTAAAAATATAGGCGCTAAAAAAATTTAATAAATGGGTACAAAATAAAACTAAAAAAGAAAATACTAAAAAAATTTTAAAAATGTTGCAAATTAAAAGTGGGTACAAACTAAAAATATAAATATATGATACAAAGTTTAGGCATAAAACATAAATATACCATATGTAATTTTTCTATCATTGATTAAATATACAATGTCACGTGACAGTATACACATGGGTACAAACACAAATAAAACTTTAAAAAATATGGGCACAAAAAGAAACTAATATATGGGTACAAATTAAAAATGAAAAGAAAATTGGTACAAATTAAAAAATATTTGCAAATTAAAAATAGGTACAAACTAAAAATAAAAATATATGATAAAAAATTTAGCCATAAATATAAATATACTAATTGTAACATTTTTAACATTAAAGGAATATATTTAAAAATAAAAATATTTTATTATTCAAATATTAATGATGTTATTAATACCTAAGGACCTTGATAAAAAATTGAAAATAAATAGGATTTTAATCAATGGAGTAACAAAAAGAAGAACGTGAACCTAATTTTCTCATATATGAGAGATGAACAGAGATTTGGATTTTTAAAAGAAAAAAAGAAAAGAAAAAAAAAGGAGGATTTCTTGCGATGGACGCCTCCTTACAATTTTACACGCAAGTCTGTGGGGGAGAGAGGGAGGGATTTCTCGGGATTCCTCAATTACCGCTTGGCAGTTGGTTCTTCTTAGGGTATTTTTGTCATTTGACATATAAGGTACCCAGTTGCCCCGGTGCGAATTTGTCTTTTACTTTTGCCTATTTTTATTTCCATCGAAAATAAAATTTGGTATTTCTGTTCGATATTTTGTTTTAACAATTAATTCAGAAAAGAAAATTCCACGTATCTAAAATGAAAATAAAGAGAAAAAGAGGGAGGGAGGAGGTTCGTATAGAAAGAAGTAAAAGGTTGCATCACATTGCAAAAAGTCACATATTTGAGATAATTTCTAATATAAACATTATTTATTTAGACGATTTTGTAATAAATTGAAATTATAAAGGAAAATGAGATAATCTATGTATAATATTAGGAATAAGAGTTTGGTGAAACATTCAAAATACGTTAAGAAAGTTTTTTTGTTTTTTGTTTTTTTTGTTTTTTGAGTACATTGATATTTTTACATTAAGTAGAGGGGAAGACAGACAAAACCACACAATGGGCAATATAATTTGTTATCAAATTTGTCATTCACGAGATTCGAACCTAAGACCTCTCACTTCCAAGTGAAGAAGAATATCACCAGACCGTAGTACTGAATGATAAGAATGTCTTTTTGTTAATTCAAATTCTAGAAGAAGATGACTTAATTTTTGGCAAACGGGTCGTGTTTGTCGTGTTCAATATTTATATCATTTTCGTGTTATACAGGTTATCTTAATGTATTATGTTGTGTCAAATCTTTTATCTTAATGAGTTTTTAATAGGTGACCCAACAACGACACAACTTGTGACGGGTCGTGTCATTTTGTGTCGGGTTTATGGGTCATGCAAGAAATTATTATACACAATGTCTAGACCTTGCAAACATGTCATGTTCGTGTCGTTTATGTATCATACCCGATATCTTAACAAGTTCTTAAGTGGTGACTTGATTCGTTAACGTGTTCTTAACATGTAACTCGATAACGACTTGAAACCTGTTATTTTGTGTTATTTCGTGTCAAGTTAACGGGTCATACAAAAAATTACCAAACCTAATTAATAGTAAGATAAATGTATTTCTATTTTGCTAGCTTAATAAATACGAGCTCCTATAACCATATAGTCTCTAAATAGGGACAACAGACCTCCAATGGGTTGGAATAGAAGTCCTCAAAATATCCCATATATAGGGACTCGCCAAATATCTCAAAGAAATCCTCAAATGTGAAGACTGTATATAGGGACTCAAAGAGTGAGTCCCATTGTGTGTGGGAAACAAACCTACTCATGTATGAATGTTACACGACAACTCATTTTTTTTTTTTTGAACCCACCCACGTGAATGATTTCTGCAACTTCATTTTTTTAACCGTTGGATAGGTTATTAGTTTTTATTAACGGCCACAATACTACAACAAAGTGACCAATAATTTTCTAATATTTTGGTCCTTACATTTAAGAATTATACTATAAAGACCTTTATTGCGGACAATATTCTTTTAGGGATCCTAATATTCCCTTAAAATGCCCAAATAAGTCTTCAAAATTAGCCGTGGGAGTCATTAGAGATGCTCTTAAATTTACACACCTTGACCTTTACAAATTCCAATCCAATCCCATCCCATCCCAAATACTATATATATTCTCGTCCTATTTCTTCTGCCATATCACATTGCATAACCTTCTGGTATTTATAAACATAACAGTTTTAATCATCAAAAAATGCATCTTCATATAGTGGTTATTGACACAAATTTATACATTGTGATGAGAAGTTAAGAAAAAAAAAGTAGAGATTTTTATATGACACGGTCTAAATTTAATTTATAACGTTGTTGAATCATACGATGATTGACTGAGGAGGCTGAGACACTACCAACTCGTTCTTTTTTTTTTAAAGAATTATTAAAGAACTAAGTACTACAAATAAACAAAAGGCCTAATCGGATAAATGGTCCCTGTGGTCATAAGGTATTCGGATGATAGCCCATGTGGTAAAAAAAATCAGATTTAAACCCCTGTGGTCATAGTCTGTTAGGATTTAAACCCCTGTGGTCTAAGTCTGTTAGGATTTATGCCCTTCTGTTAAATAATGCTGACGTGGCTGCCACATATATGCCACTTGGCTGTCAAATGTCTGCCACGTGGCAAAAATAATAATTTTTAATTTTTTTTAAAAAAAACCTGAATTTTTTACAAAAAAAAAAAAAAACCCAAATCTGCAAGAAGAAGAAGAAGAAGGAAGAGGGAGAGGGAGGAGGGTCGCGCGGGGAGAGGGCTCCGGCGAGGGGGGGAGCTGGTCTCCGGCGGGAAGAAGAAGAAGAAGAAGGAAGAGGGAGAGGGAGGAGGGTCGCGCGGGGAGACCGGCGAGGGGGGAGCTCATCTCCGGCGGGAAGAAGAAGAAGAAGGAAGAAGGAGAGGGAGGAGGGTCGCGCGGGGAGAGGGCTCGGCGGGGGGGGGGGAGCTTGTTCTTCTTCTGCAGATCTGGGTTTTTTTTTTTTTGTACAAATTCAGGTTTTTAAAAAAAAAAAAATAAATTATTATTTTTGCCACGTGGCAGACATTTGGCAGCCACGTCAGCATTATTTAACAGAAGGGCATAAATCCTAACAGACTTAGACCATAGGGGTTTAAATCCGAATTTTTTTACCACATAGGCTATCATCCGAATACTTTATGACCACGGGGACCATTTATCCGATTAGGCCATAAACAAAATAGCGAGAGACAAGATAAAACAAAACAACAAAAGTGAAGCTGACAGACAAATAACTTTAAAAACTCAGATGGCATAAGGGTGTATTTGACATTTCACATTTGGTTGACCTATCTTTTTAAACGTGAAACACTATAGTACTAAACTAAAAACGTGACTACTAACTAATACTATCTTTGAACTAGTCACATCCACGTCGCATCACAAGTTTACACAAAATGCTCCCCACTCGAAGCCTTGGGTCAATCATCCCACACTAACGATAGGAAGATAACTTACATATATCTACGGTCTATCTTTTCTTTTGACAATAGAGATCTTACGTTAAATTTGATTGTCAAACTGATCGGACGTTTTAATATACTTGTTATATTATCTTTATAGCCCCACCATTTCATTTGTATAAACATATCATTTTTTCTAGATTGGTTAACTGTGCACTTAAATATTATATAATCATTAGAACAACCAATTTCCCTACTAAAAACAATAAAAAATTATCGCCAATTAATATGTATATATTAAGTTCTGTTTGAATGGGAGTGTATTTTTACTCACCACCCTTAAGTTGTGATAATGCTTTTATTTAACGATGTTATGTGAGTTTAATTAAATTTTGATATTGTGTCTATTTACTACACATATTTCAAAATAAACATATTTAATAATAATAAAGAAAGTTTGACAAAAACAATAATAATAAAGA